AGGGTGCGGGTTTCGATTTGAAGTCTGGAGTTTAGACTGTGGAGTTTAAGGAGTAGGGGGTTTCATTGGGGTTTAGGATTTGGGGTATCGCGCAAGATGCAATGTCGTATCATAGTGCCATAGTACTTAAGGGGGGCTGATGGCTTTGCGCAAGCAGGTATTGAGTCCAGTAACTACGGCTTTCAGCTCCAAGCATACAGTGGCCCGAGTCAAGCGGGGTCCCTAGTGCTGGAGCCGGGGTAGGCGAAGTATGAGGTCGGGTTTGGGGGGTGGCAGTGTTGCGATAATTGAGGGCTGAAGGCTGAATGGGATAGGGTTGTGAGTTCTTGCTTCGACACCTTCGCCCTCGCAGGCTCTTAGGGCTTCAAGTTTCTGAAAGCTTTGAGACGGTGGCAGTCTATGGGCAAAACCAGCGCTCCCCTAACGTGGCCCCGACGCCCCCTTCACAACAGCAACGCCGAACGCCTGAAGCCCCGTTTGAGTCTTTGCAATCATCTGCACCCAACCAAGGTGCCAATAGGCCGAAATCCCCAAACTGCTCATCTCAAACGCTGAACCCGACACCCTAACCCCCTGAAGCCCCAACACCCGAAACCCTAAGTCCGTTAACCCCAGACCGGAAACCTCTACCCCTAAACCCTGCAACCCTAAGACCCTAAAATCTAGCACCCTCGCACTAACCATTTTAATAAACTTGGTTATCCTAACCTTATGCTTAATTAGTACCCTTAAGCTTAGAGTCCTTTATAGTAACCACTTTCGTAACCTTTGTTCTCAGAACCTTGCAGCACTCGTCGGAAGTGCCCAAGCTCCTGGTGTCGATGCCTCCGAGGCACGCGTCGTGGAGGCCCCGACCTCCGATGTCCTCCTTGTGGTCGGGGACTTCACAGGCCCGTCGACTAGAAGGTTTAGGTTTAGGGTTTAGGGTTTAGGGTTTCGGGCTCAGGCTGTAAGGTCTTGAGTTGAGGGCTTAGGGACTAAGCCCTAGAAGCTTAAGCCCTGAGGCGGAAAGCCTAAACCCTGGGCCGTCAACCCTAAAATCGTTCTCCGTTATCCTCGAGGTTCAGACTGTTGCTTCTTTGTGCCAAAAAACACATTAGGACATCCAAAGCCTCATGTGGAAAGGTGTGTGTTTCGGCTTTACCAGAGATTTTGGGTGGGTATCACGACCCGGAGTTTCGGTGCGGAACAAGGGTGCTCCTCTCCGAAGAGAGGGAACCCTACTTAGATTCTCAAGGAGAGTTGGGCCATGGCAGCGAATCGAAATCGGAAAGCCCTGAACCCAAACCCTCGACACCCTAAACCCCAAGCCCTAGGCCTTAAATTCTCAAGCTACTGCAGCTGCCGATGCAGTCTCCAATATGGAGGTCTGAAATTAGCTATTGATCGCATCCCGGTGTGAGCCCTCCTACTCTTATACTTGCAATACGAGACACTTGTGTTCGAGAAGCAAGAGGCCACCAGGATGCCACCACGACACCAGCAGCAAACCAGGAGACAGCAGGAGACCGTCGCCACGAAGCAAGGAGACCACCAGGAGAGAAAATGACCACCAAGAGACCCCGGGATCACCAGGAGACCACCAACACACGACCTCGACACAAGGAAAGAGACCACCGGAGAAAACCACCAGGAGACCAGAATGAGAACAGAAAGAGACCCCAGGACCACCCGGCCACAAGACCGCCAAGAGACACCCACGGCGCAAGAAGACCAAGAGACCACCCTCGGACCGCGAGGAGACCACTAAGAGACCAGGAGACCACCCGCAGAGAGCAGACCACCAGGATACTACCAGGAGACCACCAAGAGACCGCTACGACACCAAAAAGCCACCACGAGACAACGAGACCACCAAGAGACCACGAAGACATCACTGGGCGATGAACAGGACAACACGTGGAGATCACCAGGAAGCCACCAGGAGCCACCTGGACACCTTCCAGAGAACACCAAGAGATCATGAGCAGACCACCCACGTGGAGAAAAACGAAGAGACCAGGAGGGCGACCAGCCAGAGACCACCAAGAGACCACCTTTCCCCCAACTGGCGCATGAAGAAGCACGCCGCAAATGCTTTAGTTGGAGAGTGCCCGGCCCTCCTCGAAACTGTTTTCGCCCGGACGATGGCATGTTTCGGGAACGCGAGGCAAATGTTCTCCACAAAGAAGCAGAGGCCAGCGAAAAGTATGCACCGCACCATTGTGGCAGACACACGCCGGATGCTTTCTCTGTAAATAGTATATATATATATAACATATAGGACGCGGGACCAGATTTGCTGCACCATGCGCCGTCAGAAATAGGACACTCGGAGCCAATTTTCCGACCACGCCGTGCAATCAATTCTCTACAAACTTCCCAACGTAGGAACGCCATACATTTACAACACTGTTTGGGTAACTATGGCTGCGGCTCAAGCCAATTTTGTTCCAACCAAGTTGCTGGTGCTGTGACTTTTGCAACATCTCTGAAGCCATGACCGACGCAGCTGTGAAAGTTCTCGCCAACATGACCCAAGCCGACGCACCTTTGACAGCAACTGAAGATGCAGGTGCTGTTGCTTGGGTGTTGACGTCAACAGCCTTGGTTTTTCTGATGACGGCAGGGCTTGGCTTCTTTTATGGAGGCCTGGTCCGCGACACCAACATAATTAACACCATGATGATGAGTGTGGTCTCCATGGGCATCGTCACACTGACTTGGGTGGTGTTTGGCTTCTCATGGGCTTTTGGAGACAACGGTGAGCATGGGATTGGTCTCTTCATTGGCAACTTTGA